AAATGACCAAAATGCCCCTAAAAGTTTCAAGGGGTATTTTGGTCATTATATTTTATCGAAATTTTTTTTTTAATTTTTTATAGGTGCCCTCCAATGAGAAGATGGCACGTACTAAATTTCATATTCATACAAGTTTTATAAAGAAAACTAAACATAAAATACTTTGAGACGTCGGATCTAAGATCAAACGGTGAGTGGCTCTCTGGATCAAAATTGGACGGCTGGTTGGTAAGGGAGGATAGAACTTCTATGCTGTAGGGGAAGCATAGAACCTTTCCCTTAAAAATATTTAATCTCAGTTTTTCACTTGTTTGGATACTTTCATTTTTAGTTAACATGTATGCTCTTGTTAAATTGTTGGTACATTTATCAATGTACTTCTGGAGAAGTATAGAAGATAAGATTTACATGTGCAATATTATTGGGATGATAACTTAATAACTCGAGGTTCTCTCTTGCAAATACCACATTTTCATGCTTCATTGGTCTGAAACTTTTGGGCTTCTTCCTCGACTTGGATGGCACTTGGTTAAACAAATTTGAGGTGATATATGAGCTAGTTATCTTGATTGTGGCATCTTATGATTCAGAACTTAGGTTGTCTCTAGTTCTTATGATTGATTCAATAGTTGGTTTTGATCATTTGCATATTGAATTTGGGGGCGAAGCTCTTCAATAACTGAAGTTCCTTATATTCTTGTACACGATTTGTGCATTGATAATTCCTATGCTCCCTTTTTTGACTATTTGTTGGCTTTTGGATTTTATGTTCAAGTATGTGCAAGCATAAGGTGGTGTTAGAATACGTGTCCAAAGTTTTGCATATGACTCCTTATTAAATGGTAAATGGAAATATGGCTGACTTACAGTTCTTTTGCAGGCATCCTCAAGTATGGTAGCTCTGTCCTTCAGTGAATTTTTCCTTGCTGTGAATGAGTCGATTTTACCAAATGGACATGGGCCATACTTGTTTGCAAACTATTTGGACATATGGTATGTGAGTTTATTTTCCTTGGCATTTGCGTATTTGAGATTAGTTTAGTTAAATGATAATGTTGATATTATGTTGTCTTCTTGTGCAATCTTCTTCTGTGGTCTATCAAGTTTTGTTAGTTGTATGTGATAAAGGGATAGACATAGTTTTGCATCTGCAAAGAATACCCTTGCAAAACCTGTATAAATGTAGTTTTATTCCAAAATGTTGTAGGCGTGCTTAAAAGCATGCATCCCAGCTTGCAGCTCGTATACCTCTAATGAAGAAGCATACATATTAAGATGCGCATGATAAACGTAAAAAAATCACATGAAATAATGACCTCATGTTTTGTGGCTTGTGACCCACTGCAAAAAATTATCTAAATTTGTTCCTTCTGATAATAAAAGTACATCGTGATTTGATTTTTTTTTAGTACTGTTTAAGACTTCTGAACAGTTAATTCTTTGTAATACTGCTCATAAAAAAGTCTCATAGTTTCTGGGGAATTCCATTGAAATTCCCATGTGTTTCTTGAAAATAGATTTTATGGTGTTTCTTGTATTGTTTTTGTAGTGGCCACAAATGTTGTATTGATGTCCTTGATTTATTCTATGTCTGGTAATGATGGGGAGCTTTGTTGTTTGTATGGTAGGGGGCTTGTTGTTGCTTCCAATAGGAAGACGGCAGATGAACATCTTGTTCTCCTGGGATGGTTTTTTGATGGAAAGAAGAGGGAAGCAACAGCCATTGAAATCATACAAGACAAATGGAGGCCTAGGATTGAGCTGCAAGGTGCCTTTTTGATGGGGAATCCACGTTTATGTTGATAATAGTTATAGATTGCATAGCTTATATTTAAATGGTTCTTTTAAGGTGATTAATTGAGGTGTTGTTGCTGTCTACAAGTATATGGTTAATTGGATTCAAGTTTTCATTGTTTTGTCCATTGGTCCCTGACGTCATTGGAGCAAGTTGGGAAAAAAAAGGGTCTTCATTTTTTGCTCAAACTAGGACCTTTCTTTCATTATGCATATGTGCAGAATAACTTCAGATATTAAATGCCCTTTAACTTTTCCTTTAGAGTTGTTTTTGGATTGGGTGTAATTCTATTGTTTGTTAGGATAAGAACACATCATTAGCTAAGGTTGACATTCAACTATCAGGAGGCATGGTGGTTCTAATTCGTGTCACATCTTTACATAATTGAACATCAGTCCATTATGGGCATTTTTATCATTACCCTTCACAAATGATAAAATAACCCGAGCCAGAAATGGCCAAAAAGAAGGTGAGGGCATTTAGTGTCCTAAATTATTTGGTGAAGGCCAAGATATTTGACCCATTTTCCCATACACTTTTGCTTCTTTTTCTCTTTTTTTTTTCCTTTCCCCGGTTAAAGTCTAAGTTGTTTTGAGGATTCTTTGAAGGAGATGTACCCTGAAAACAGAGTTCATGGATGAATGAGAGCTTCTGTTGTGTATAATGATCTGTGCTGAACCCTTTCTTGTGTGAGTGAGCTTGCCTTTTTTTTGGCTTCTCTAAGCTCCTTGGATTAATATATAGGGACCTCCTCCCTAACCTACCAATTCATAATATTTGCTGGTATAATAGTATTTATCCGTAAATTGCTAGTGTTAGCCCCAACCCCAATTAGTTGGGAAAAGGCTCTGACGATGATGATCTATAGGTAAATTGCCTCTCTGAACCTCATTTGATCTTATTGAGCGAAGCTCCATCCTAATCAAATGGTTTATTCAAAACAAATACACTTTTATTGTTTGCTGGGGCTTTCTGTTTTACCCTAAGTTGAGTGATACTTCGCACGGGATCTATGTAGTCTTCAAGAACTCTTCTAACATGAACTCTAGTTAAACCTTCCAATTCTGATGTACCCTGGGGAATCTGCCATCAAACCTGTGTCTCAGGAAACCCTGCATCTGGGTCACCGATCGTACCTACCATACCCTTGATCTGGTTTTTAAGGTACTGCTTCAAGAAACAATCTTCTACCTCTATTAGATCCTCTGCTTTAAAGCCCAATAACTTCTTAAGCACCGGCGTATAAAATCTGAGTCCTCAATTCATTCCCTGAGCCGCTGAGGCTAAAAAACTAATACATGAACCATTTAAAATCCTATTAGTTCTCTCTTTCTTGATACCTCTGAAGATCACATTAGTACATTACTTATTGGACGCTACTCTATGTTTGTACTGATTCCAGCATCACTCGTGGTACCCCAAAGAGACCATAAGTTGCTCCAACATCCATAGGTACAATGACGCGGCAATGGTCTACATTCTCCTTACCTTCCCTACCTATGAAGCAAATATTAAGAATACACCCCAGTGTTTTAAAATGCGGCCGCATCATGTGGTATGCGGTGGGCATTGCATCTGCGTAGACCGCATATGCGGTTTTGAGTGCCGCATCAGAGCTGCATATTTTTCTGCAAATTTTTTTTTCGATTATGCCCCTCTAGGAGGGGCAAACTGGTCTTTTTTACCATAAAAAATTGGGGGAAACAATTTGGGAGGGTATTAAACTCCCTAAACAATCATTTAAAGCCACTTTTGTGGCTTTTTTAAGATCAAATCGAGCAAAAAAAAAATTTTGGCGGAAATTTTTTTTCATTAGATTCTGGATTTGGGTATTGTTTGATACTTGGATATTGATTTTTGATACTTGGATATTGATTAGAACCTTTTGATTGTTGATTTAAGAAAGTTTAGGTGAATTTGTGACAAAAAATCGTGGGTTTCAGAGGCCGTGAAGAAATTGAGCACTAAAATTGGGGATAGTGGATACAAAATCTTCGACAACTAATTATTTTGGAGTTAATCATTAAACTAAAATACCTACTTTCACATATATCACCTCCATATTTTTTTTCTATGCATTGACCTATTTTTTTAGATTTTTTTTGAATTTTTTTACATTTATTGACCGCATCGTCGCGATGCACCCGCATCGAGCCGCATCGGCCCCCCCACCGCTTTTGGCCGCATCCTGCCTTCGAAAACACAGATACACCCCACACTTTTATGTGTGGTTAGCGTTAGTCAATTACTGAAAAAGTAAGCCTAAGATGGAGGCAGATTTTCCCAAATGTTGCGACCTAGGGTTCTTTTCTGCCACCCCATTCCCCTTGAAGATCCTAGGGAAGGTACAGAGAAAGGACTCATGCTTCCCAATTCCACAATTTCTTACTGAAGTTTCTGCATGTGATAAATTTTTCTTCAGGATACCATAATATGTGCCCAAACTCATCCATCTTCTCGTCCCTCAAAGCGTTTCTAGGACATGGTTGCCATACCACTTTGTCCCCTCTCAATCCCTCGCCCCAAGTGCCAATGCTAGTCAAGCCTAAGGTGAGATCTGGAGATTCATTGCTGCATACCTTAGATAGCTTACAGGAAGCTTGGGCAATAGATTCTTGCTTCTGTAGGTCACATATTCTTACATGTCTCTGTGACACCGCTTTTGGTGCACCAGTTCGAAGTATCTCCTATATTTCCCTGCTTTTCATTTTTGTTAGTTAATCCTGTATCTCTGACCCATCTCTTAGGTATTTTGCTATTATGCAGCCTTCCTTATAATTGTGCTGCACTGCTAGCTTCCATCGCCAACTTACTTGTAAAATCATTTGTACAATTGGTCTTATTTGTCAGAAATTGGCTAGTTTCATAGTTGTTGATTGGAGAAGAAAAAGAAAGTATTGCTATTATTCAGCCGATCTAGTTAACTATTTAGCGTGATTCTCTTGTTCTTAACCATCTTTAAATTGGATATGGTATTCTATTGGAGCCTTGATGATTCATTAGGCAATGGATTTTGTGTTGTGTGGTTTGCTGTTGGATATACCTCTTTTTGGCTTGTCAAATATCAGTCTGTTGATCTTATTATTTCCAATACCTTCATGGATGGCATGAACTGCACTTCTATACATTGTTGAATTATGTGCCACAGGCACATCAGTTTGATGCACGAATGATAAAAGTAGATTATTGTTTTAACATTGGTTATGTTGCTTTAGTTTAAAGAATGGAGTTCATCTTTTAGTCTAGTTGCACTAAGCTTTCTTTTGTCAACTGAATTTAGAAAATGGAGATGATAATTTGGTGGTGGGATTTGGTGTGGATAAGACTTCAACAGATGGCATATTTGAAATCAAACTTGCGGATGGAGAATTAAAAGAAATTTCACCATATCATATTCTGGTCGTTGTAACTATTGACGGGCATATTGATTTGTTTCGTATTGCCAGGTGGTCTTTCTCCTCTATTTTGATTGGTAAAATGTCCTGTTTTTATTTTTGAAGTTGGGGGTTTCATGTATCTCTGAGAAGATGGATTGAGATGGATTGTGTTTTAATTTTTTTTTTAAGAGCGATAGAAGCCCAAGGTTGCTTTGTTTTGATTCTAGATGGTACTGTTCGACTTTTTTATCATCTCAATTTTTTTGCAGTATTTCTGCACCACCAGCTTTGCCTGAGGTGCACTCTGAGCTGCCTGATAGTGTGCGGGATGCAGGAGCACGCACTTCAACAATTTCAGATGTTGGACATGAATTATCTAAAACTGCATCCATTTCTTCCATTCTTGATACCCAGGATGATTCCATGACTTCACAGGTTGAGGGAGTGCTTGGTGGAGCTGAAGAATCAGTGAAGAAATATGCTGCTGGAGAGTCTGAGCCAAACGAGAATTTGAGTTCCCCATTTGTGTCATATCAATCATCAAATAAAGCAACAACGATGACCTCAATTACTTCTGACTATGCAAGTCCATTTACCTTTAACAATGTAGAATTGAGAAATCAGGGGATTTTGACATCGGAAGGCCGTGATAAACAAAGGTTTAGTACTACTGCAAGTCAAAATCAAGGCACTGCTGGTAACAATGCAGATACTCTTAGTGGAGAGAAACCAATATCAGGAATGTTTGATATACAATCACCTCTAGTGCAAAGCTCTGCTCCTGGACTGAAAGATTCTCCCAATATAGGTACTACAAAATCTGTTTTGGATACTACTGATATTGAAGTGAGGAATAGCTCTATGATTAGAAGCATCGCTGTTAACACAGCTGCTATTATGAAATCACATTCTCTAGGTTTACCCAAAAGAGATGACTCGGCGAAGATTTCTGTGGACAAAACTAGATCCATTGGCTTTCCAACAGTTGCATCTGAACCCCAGTCTGGTGGAAACTTCTTTGGTTTTAAAAATTTTACTGGCCCATCTTCATTGTCATCTTTGGCTTCTAAGGGAGACCGCCTCATTTCTAGTCATCAAGGAAATGAGAAAAATATTCTTTCAAGTTCACGACAGGAGGTTTCTTTGCCTAGGATGTCTGGCAATTATAATGAAGAATTCAAGAACATTGGTAGAGGTCACCAGCCTCCCGGGACTGTGGACTCTGTGGACTTCATGAAGGAATTTGACAATGTAAGTTTTATTACTTGCCCTATATGCTCTTGATGTTTCTGATTGCTCTTAATTGTAGCCTTATATTCTCTTTGATTACTTCCCACATCTGAATTGATTGCTTGTAGTCTACAATTTCCATATTGGATAAGCCAGACCCTCAACTTGTCTGTAGTCTTTCATCCAGGAATACACAGGAATTGATCAACTTGAAGCCACCTAATTGTCATTTTCTCTTCTTTCCATTCTAGACAGGGTGTTTCATTTGGGGTAGTGATTGTTGCATGTCTTCTTAGTAAATCATGTTATTTTTTATCATTGAATTATATGCCGTCCAAGTATCTGTTTATCCAGTTACATGGTATCTGTAAAACTGTTTCTTATGGTTCCCAAGTCATCGCAATTGATTGATTCCAACATCCAAGATTCAACTCATTCAACCAAAAATGTTTGTTCCACTTATTTAGGACACTCGTAGGGAATTGAATGCTTTATGTCATCTCTTGGCAATACCATACCTATTGCTGTGTAATTTGGGGGCCTCTCAGCCTTGGCTCTTATGTATCATTAGTGATGGGAATTATTTTCTACCGTCTGGACTCTTTTATTCCACTTTGATGAGCTTCCAAACAGCTGGTTGTCACCTTCAATCTTCCATTTTCACTCAACCTGTCAATCAGTGTATGTGGTTGGCTCTCCATAATGAAGTTTTTAAATCTTTTCCTAACTCATCCATGATGGCTACTTACTGTTGTTTCTAATATTGCTCTTCATGCATCAATCCAGAGCATAGTTGTCGGATCTCCCAACCTAAGTCTTCATCCCTCTCTGGAATCTCACTCCTTCGCTTTTTTTTGAGGAAGGTTAACTTTATGTTAATGCAGTATAAATGTACAGAAAGCACTAATTCTATAGTAAAGGGAGCCCACAAGTGGGTGCTCAAAGTACGAAAGAAGTAGGGCAAATTGAAATGAATTGCTAAAACCAAAAATAAAAAAAATCCTTAATACAAAAATGGGTCTTATGTGTGAACTGCGGAAATGTGATGCTGCTGGTGCACCTTCAAGGGTGAGGGAGAAGGCCATCTGGCAGTCCTGGAAGCCCAAGTGTGAAACACAGCGAAGAAGAGATAGAGGTAGGTAGTAAAGAAGAGTTGGAGTGAAGGAGAAGGAGAGGTTAAGGGGAGAGGCAAGAAAAATAGAGCTGAGTGGGCTCAGTGGACAGCACCATAGTTGAAAGCCCTTAAACTTGTGCATGTGAACCAAGTATTGGCTGCACTTCCTGCCTGTGGTATAGCGTGGAATGAGGCAAGAAGATGAGAAAAGAAAGAGAAGAAATGACGAGAGTAAGAAGTGAGGTTAAAGAGAGAATAGAGGAGAGGTAGGGAACAATGAACGAAAATTCGGCCGCCCTGTCGTCTAGGCAACATTTTTTGAAAAAAACACCTAGTTGTGGACTTGGCGGCCTATCCTAGGCTGCTTTTGCTAGGCACCCTCCTAGATGGTGTAAAAGGCTGGTGCTTAGGCGCCGCCTAGACCTGCACCAAAAAATAGTACTAATTTGTAATTATTAATTTATTGGTAAACCAAAAAATAATAGTAATCTAGTTTTAATTAATATATTGAAGGATTAGAATTTTTATGCCACTTGTTGTTTTGCATGTAATAGTAATTATTTATTCATCGATAAATCAAAAAATAGTATTAATTCATAAGTATTAATTTATCGAAAATGGTTTTTGCATGTGATGGTAATTATTAATTTATTGGTAAACCAAAAAAATAATATTAATTTGTAATTATTAATTTATCAAAAATGCTTTTGCATGTAACAATAATTATTGATTTATAGGTAAACCAAACAATAGTATTAATTCATAATTAATAATTTATTGGTAGAGCAAAAAATAGTATTAATTCAGCGTTAATTAATATATGGAAGGATTAGACGTTTTATGCAACCTGTCGAAAATGCTTTTTGCATGTAACAATAATTATTAATTTATTGGTAAATAAAAAAATAGTATTAATTTGTAGTTATTAATTTATTGAAAATGCTTTTTGCATGTGATAGTAGTGTTAATTTGTAATTATTAATTTATTGGTAAACCAAAAAATAACATGAATTCAATTTTAATTTATATATGGAAGGATTAAACTTTTTATGCCACCTGTCGTTTTGCATGTAACAGTAATTATTAATTTATTGGTGAACCAAGAAATAATATTAATTCGTAATTATTAATTTATCAAAAATACTTTTTGCATGTGATAGTAATTATTAATTTAATGGTAAGCCAAAAAATAGTATTAATTTGTAATTGTTAATTTATAGTTTCGTAATTATTAATTTCTAGTATGTACAAAAAAATGGGGGGAGGTGTGGGGGATCCAATTTTTTTAAAAAAGACAACACAAACCTTTTTTGGGCCTGGGCGCTTGCCTAGGCGGCCCAGAGCCCAAATCGCCTAGGCGGTGGTCGCCAACGCCTTTTAGAACATTGGTAGGGAAAGAAAAGGAGGTAGAAAAGTATGGGGGTGAGAGAAAGCAATGACTAGAGAAGGGCGAGAGAATTAACGGTAAGCAAGAAGAGAGACTGTGGAGAAGGAGAGTGAGGAGAGAATAGAAAAGAGAGATAGAGACAAGAATGAAGCCTGATTGAGGAGGGGGAAGAAGGATGAGAAAGAATGAGGAGCCGATTAGAGATTAACATTAGAAGCTAGAGGAAGGAAGACTAGACAGAAAATAGGGCAAGGCCAGTTGCTGTCATATTATTTGCTCTTCACCTTTCTAATTTTATTTTTCTTCTTTTTTTTTTTTCTCTCTATCCCTCCTTTTTTAAAGCAAGGGAGAGGTGGAGCAGAGAGAAGAGAAAATAATTAGAGAGAAGTGGAGCTAGAACCTGGAGCTAAGAGTGCCATGTCTTTAGCTAGCCTGTCTGCTGTTGAATTAACTTCTCTGTGTATGTGTATGAAAGAAATAGAGTTAAGGATCTGATAAAAAATGGGTGCAAGGCGCCATGGAGGCTGGCTAAGGTTTGAAGCCCAAAGAATAATGTTGCTAGAGTCGGCCTCTACTAAAATCCCAGCATATGAATGAGTTGTTTTAGATGCTCTCTTGAGGACTTCGAATAATGCCAGGGCTTTCGCTGTGGTGAATTCTAAAGCTCCCAGGTAACCTGGGAAAGAAAAGAAGACTCGTTCAGAGTTGGCAAGGGCACCACCAAACCCGAGGGACCACTATTTCCAATGGAGGATCCATCATAGTTAACTTTAACCAAGCTAAAGGGTGGAATTCTCCAAACATCCCTTTAAGTAGCTTTTTTTTTTTTGGAGGGTGTGTGTTTGTGCAAGTGAAAGGAGGTAACCCAATTAGTGTGGGAAATTGGTTAGGTTGTGATATTTGTAAATGGGAATAATCTTGGCCCAGAAAGAAATCAAGGCCATAATGGAATCAAATAGGAGGAGAAAGATGTCTAGCTGTACCCCAGAAGATTCTTGAGTTCCTTTGGAACTAAATAGACCACAATAGAGCCAATATAGAGTTGCGCCATAACATATGACCACTTCTAGGGAATGGGGGAGCAAAAAGAGTGGAGAAGAGTTGGGGTAGAGAGGCAGGGGTGACCCATTGGAGATCAAAAAGCTGGAGGAGGGAGGACCACATGGAAGAAGCGACGTCACAATGGAGCAAGAGATGAGGAATATTTTCCTTGTCATGAAGACAGAGGCTGCAACGATTGGGCAGAGCAAGGCTATGCCTTTGAAGCTGGTCAAGGGTCTGGAATTTGCCCTACAGAAGGATCCAAGTGAATGCTTGGACCTTAAGAGGGACAGAGATGGACCAAACTTTTTTTAGGAGGGGAGAGAGATCCAAAGGGGGAGGGGGAGAGGAGTAGAAAGAGGAAGCACTATAAGTTCCAACTGTGTTGGGAGCCCAAATGATGGAGTCTTCATTGGAGAAGATAGAGAAGAAAGGGGTAAGCAAAAGGAGGGAGTTGAGATAGCTAATCTCGGAGTCTTTCAGATTTCTCCTGAAGATAGGTTTCCATACCAAATTTAAATCCCTGCATTTCACATAAGTGGCCACAAGGGCATCTTGGTTTGTGGCTAGGAGGAAGAAAAGGGAAGACTAGAGGTTGGTCTCCTATCCAAAGATCCTTCCAAAATCTGATTTTAGATCCATCCCCTATCTTAAATCTAATGAAGGTTCTGAAGGCAGATTTGAAAGAGGATATCTACTTCCATGCATCTGAAGCACTGTTAAAGGAGAACAAGGTAGCCAACCATCCTCTCCCATACCATATTATTACTTGTTTCTAGAGAAGAGTGTGTGGGGACGTGAATCTCCACCATCATTTGCCTAATAAGGCAGAATTCATTAGGGTTATGTTCTTAATGCCTAGGCCACCACACTTTTTGGGGTTACAAATCTTATTCCAAGCAACAAGGTGAAATTTATGACCATTGGATTCCCCATTCCAATGGATATCCTGCATGAGTTTCTCAAGGCGATTGTCTACAGAGGAAGGAATCTGGAAGAGAAACATCTCGTAAATGGGAATGTTAGCCAACATCACTTTGATGAGGGTTATCCTTCCTCCATGGGACAAGAATCTGCCTTTCAAGTTTGCAAGCTTTCAAGAGAACTTCTCTATGACATTGTCCCAAAGTTGTTTCTTAGGTTTTCCTAGACAGAGGGTTAGGCCCAAATAGAATGAGGGTAGGCGCTCGATGGAACAAACTAAGATCTTCTAAGGATTGAATTTTAGGTTATAGGACCTGCACTCCCAACATTTTAGTTACGGACATATTGACCTTCATCCTTGTGGTAAGCTCGAAGCATCTGAGGAAGACCCAAAGATTATCTAGCTATGAGGGTTCAGCCCCATAGAAAATTAAGGTGTCATCAGCATACAAAAGATGGGAGATGACCAAGCCAACTCTAGAGGTTTGGAACCCATTTGGCAGGCCCTGATCAAACAACCTGGAGATGGACTTAAAGAAGAGTTCTCTTATGAAGGTGAACAAGAAAGGCGAGAGGGGGTCTCCCTGTCTAAGATCCCTATAGGAGGGGAATAATCCCACTGGAGAACCGTTAATAGTGATGGAAAAGAAAGGATTGGAGATACAAGCTTTAATCCAAGATCTCCACTTGGGGCCAAATCCCATGCAATTAAGTAGCTCCCAATCTATACGATCATAGGCCTTTTTCCAATCTAACTTGATGGCGAGGCCTTTGGATCCTGAGATAAACCTAGAGTGAATAGCTTTATGTGCTACGAAGGTACCATTAAGGATTTGGCTATTAGCAACAAAGGCTGATTGCACAAGAGATATGATTTTGTGCAACACCTTTTGGAGTTTAAGAGGCCAGAGCCTTGGAAGAATTTTGTAGGAGTTAAGTAGGTTAATGGGGCGGAAGTCCCTCACTTTTTCAGCCCCTTCAACCTTAGAAATCAAAGAAAAGTACAGTTCAACACTGATTTAAGACAACTTCTATGTTAAAATTCATTAAAAAAAGTTAACATGTCAAGGGCAAGGGCATCCCAGAATTCTTGGAAAATAACAATAGGGAAACCATCTGGACCAGGGGCTTTATCGTTGGCAAGCTGAAACATCCTCAAGGGGGAGGGTGAGAAAGGTTAAATCACCTAGCAACAGTTTAGGAGTAAAAGGGGAGGAAAAGAGTTTTTTGAAGAACCTTATAAAAGTCCTATTTATGTGGTCAGGCTCAGAGGAGGAGCAATCTCCTATTGAGATGTGAGAAATGCATTCCCACGTCTCCTAGAGCTAGCAGTTTTATGGAAGAAGCTTGTATTCCTATCCCCATCCTTAATCACTTAATCTTGGATCTTTGGTACCGTAAGGTTTCTTCCTATTTGAGGAAATGAAGGAGATTCTGTTTGGCAGTCAATCTATATAAGGTTTCTTTAGTATAGAGGGGTCTTGACTCTTCAAGGACATCTAAGCTCTGGATCTGTGCCAAATAAGCTTGAATATGCTGTCAGAATTTCCTAGGATTCCTCCAACCAAAAGAGTTCAAACCTAAAAAGCCTGAAGGCACACTGAATAGGGCTGGTGTCTAGAAGGATGGGTTTATGGTCAGCGGTGATCTTGGGGAGGGTAGAGGAATGGGTGTCAGGAAACCTTTCTTCCCACTCATTGGAGATGAGGAGTCTATCGATCTTAGTCACGACATGCACTGAGGTATGGTTGGAGTAAGTGAACGAAGCTCTAGAGAGGGGAACGTCTAAGAGGGGGACACTATTAATGAAGTCTGAGAATGCTCTCATGGAGGTAGTGATGTTGCCTTTGTAGCTTCTCTCATGGGTTCATCTGACAACATTAAAGCACCAAGGACCCAAGGAACATTTGCAGCCGGAGCTTCAAATAGTAGCTTAGTTCATAACTCTTGCCTTCCAGTGGGCAACCTCCCTAATCAACGAAAGATTTGAGGCCGGGAGCTTAGTTTCGAAAAGAGCAAGGAAATCAGTATTATGGCCCGATACGAGGGAGTGAACAACACTACACTTGAAATGACTACCAAGCCCCCTAATAGTCCAGCAGAGGATCCTCATTTGGGAGAATTTGGGGGTTCTCCTTCTAGACCTTCTATTCTTAGGGTTGTGAGACATAGAGGCTAGAAAAGGAATGTAAACAAAAGAGTGCTAAGGGGTATTGTAATTGATACTTGAATGCAGCTTGGCGAGCTCTCTAAAGCCTTTAGGGAGTTTAGGAGAGGGAGTTACCTGAGAAGCACCAGCGTCTGCTCTAAGAGTGTCAGCAAGGTCGGAGATGTTACCATCATACACATCCCGTTCAGATCATGGTTCCCATACCAGGCTCTCCTCTATCGATTCTCGCTAGCTCCCTGAAGTCAACTGAAGTCAAAGATTGGATATCAAAGTTGAACTCCTCCCTTGAACAGGAGATGGGTTGCAAGATTGAGAAGGTTCAATGGGGGAAGGAATGGAGGGAGGCAAATCTGGAGTGGAGGTTGTGCTTCTTAGGGAAGAACCTGCAGAGGAGTACATGAAAGAAATAGAATTTCAGCTTGTGTAAGAGCTTGCCATTTGGAGTGACAAAGAATTGAAGTGGGGGAATAAAGAGAGGAATCCTACTTGCTGATGAGTCGTGGGCGTTGATAGCTAGTCTCATCTCCAACGGGAGGGGGACTAGTTGGGCTAAATCCAACTCCTGCCTTCTTCAATCCTGGGGTTAGGGAAGGGAGTAGCAAATGAGTTTGATTGAACTGGGGTGGATGAGGAGGGTTTAGAGAATACGTAAAGGGGAATGAGCGTTACTGTAAGGATGCGGGGGAGGGGAAACTGGGGAAATGGATGTAACTAGGAGTTTGCATGAACGACACTAAGGGGTGGGGTAGCACAGGAATGATGGAAGGGGGTGGGGTGGGAATGGAGGGAAGGCAAGAGGGCCGGACGTGGTTGCAGTTTGCTTCTAGTGTCATCTCTGAGAAGGAAGATGGATGGGACAAGGTTTGTGAGGAAGGAGTAAGGGGCAAGAATAGGGGTAAAGAAGAGGGAAAGGGGGAGGAGGTATGGAGGTTGGCATTGTAAAGAACGATTACAAGAACTGGTGGCTTGCAGGGGCTCATTAAGAGGAGGGGTGGAATGAGAGGGATGGGAGGAGTATAGGGAAGCAGAGGAAGGAGAGGAGGTTGGGGAAGATGAAGAGATGGAACAAAGGGGTGAGATTGACGGTCTTGAGATGGGTGAAGTATAGGGAGAGGTACACTAGGTGTAATTAAGGGGGGGGTGGGGCAGGTGGGCAAGTGAGCAAGAATGGGAGGAGATGAGGTGTATTAGGTAGGGAGATGAGAAGGAGGGAGGGGGATTAGTGTGCCGCCAGATTAGCCACCTGGATGGTTGAGGGCGAATGGTAGGATAAAGGGGAATGGGTGTGCACTTGGGGTTAGATGCATAAATTAAATGCATGCTGAGGCATGTGGTTAGAAGGCGGCGCATGTTGAGTGATGGCAGCGCTAGCAATAATTGAGGGAAGGGAGGAGTGTCCAATTGGGATGGGGGTGAAATAATACTCCTTGGGAAGGAGTAGGATTTGGCTGCGGAGTGGGGGAGGAGTTAATGCAGGTATTGTAGAGAGAGAACAGGTGGCAGGAGGCGAAGGAAAAGAGGAAAATGACTTGCCAAAATCATCATTACTAACGGGATGGGGTGTTCGAGGAGCGCCGGGTGAATCCCAAAAAATGGAGATCGTTTGAGGACGTGACACGTTAAAAGGATTGAGACACTGTGGACTACTGAGATTCTGGGTGAAGTGTGGAGTAGGAGCACCAAGAGTAGAAATATTGTGGTCCATAGCAGTGTTTTTATGTTTTTTGTGGACTACGATGGTCTAGCCTTTGTGGTCAGGGACAGAGGATTCATGGATGATGGGAACTGATGGACCATGTATGGAACTCCTAACCTAAAAGGGAAGTCCATTGAAATGCAATCGTAGAGTGGAGGGTTTGGAGTATGAAAGGGAGGATTCCATTGGAAGAAGCCCAAGAGATTTTTAGGGAGCCCTCTAGACCCAGCATGTTCTCATTCCTTCGCTTTGGAAAAGGGATCTTCTGAAGATCACGTTTTTTACATTTTGTGATCTCTATCCCAACCTCAAAGACCAAGATAACAATCGCAGTCATGATTTTCTTTATTTATAGCCCACTAGCAATGCAACTATATTTTTAGTATTGGTTTCATTGCTTGGTGACCATAATAATGAGAAACCTACCGAAAAGAGTATATATAATCCTAGAATATATTTTCTCTATAAGGTTCCGATTGAGATCCCCAAAATGTTGCGATGAGATCTCTAACATTAAAGGATCTCATCCCTAACATATACCTAGACAGGCGACACTCCCAACCATAAGGATCTTCTATCCTTTCACGATCCCACCCTCATATTGCTGCTCCCTTTCTCGATCCCATCAACTATGGTCCAAAGTTTCCTATATATTCTGTGATTTTTATGGCTTTCACGGGTTTAGATATGAATCCTGAATAATTTCTTGAAGTGTAATTTGTTTTGGTGCTCCTAATGGAATGTGATGTTTCATGTTCCAGATAAAGCATATTGGAACACAACTGGATAAGCTTTTATCTATCATCAATGAAGAAGGTGGCCCTGGTGAAGCTGTTACTGTCTTCCGTAAAAGTTCTATTAAAGCATTGGAAGAAAAATCGCAGAACCTGTTGAGAAGTTGCAGAGTTTGCAAGGTAATGATGTCCTATAGCCATTCATGATACCCACGGTGATCTTTGACACATCAGTTAGTGTTGATGACTCTTTATGAATCAGATTAGGCTTAATTGTAAAGAAATAACTGAATAGTTGAGTGGAAATGAAGTTTTGTGGCTTGTGAGAGTTTGTATCAATGAAATTTGCTGTCCTCCTGCAGAGCACAATTGAGAAAAGGCATGAAGAAATGCAATCTCTTTGGGATAAAACTCTGCAAGGTAATATCCAATGCTCCAAATTAGTGGTTTTGCTTGGGATAATTCCCTGTTACACTTCTTGAAGTCAACTTGCTGATACGATTCTTGTTAGTATTGTGCAACATGCTTTTGTATAAAAGATAATGAATGTGCCATTTAAATTTGCTTTCTCTTCTTAGTGGTGGTCACGGTCTTATTAATTTCCCATGCAGACCATTCCAGATCTTTTGATTGATGTTGCAACGCTCACATCACATAATTAGGAATTTACCTTGAATACATGCCAATGCTTTGGTTAAGGTTCTATACATGTTTGATGCTGATGGTGATTTCCCTTAAGTCTCTTCTACATAGCCACATCTCATATCCTCTAAGAATCATTTAGAAGCTCATAATTCTTTCTTTTCGCGAATATATCTCCATGTTATCATGGCAACCCTGACTTTCACATCACATAAAGTAAGTGCTATGAAAGCACTCTGACCTGCTAGTTGGATTGTAATTTTAAGTCAAAAGGTGAAATCAGCCCTGATGAACTAAAAAATAATCATCAAGAAATTACCCAAAAAGAAAGTTGTAATGAGGGCATTACTAGAGGTTACAACAACTTGTTACTAATCTACCAGATTTGGTTAATTAAAAGTAAAAAAAAAGTAGTAGTTGATGAATTTTGGTTTTTCATGTATTGTAGTGCATTCTACTTGTCACAACAAATTGTTACTAATCTACCAGATTTGGTTAATTAAAAGAAAAAAAAGTAGTAGTTGATGAATTCTGGTTTTTCATGTAGTGTATTTCATTCTTCGCTTTGTGAGGCCAATTTGAGCTTGAAAGGTTGACTTGAATGGTTATAGGGCCTCCTTTGGTCATACTGAGCCAAATCTAATTGTCTCTAGGTTTGTAACATTGGGTCTCTAAGCTTCAGTTATAAAAATTGAGTCATAAATCTTACAGAATGCGTATGTGTCAAAATAGAACACAGTTACTGCAAAAATGCAACCAATGAGCTGGGTTTCCAATTTTTATATTATTAATTTGCTTGCACTTTTACCTGCTTCTCATTTGCCTGAACCTGAACATTCCTTTCAGTTGTTGCTTGGAGACTGCATACGGAAAGCATTGTTAAGCAAGCTGCTGATGACCAGTATTGGAAGTCGTGGAACTGCCAGAATTTGAGCCCTGAATTTGAGCTGAAGAGACAGAAAATAATGAAAGCGAGTCAGGTATTTTTGTTTTTTTGCGTTGACAAACTTATTTCTGTTGTATATGCATGCCTGAGATTGTTTTCATGAGACCTTTCCAGAATTTGAGGTGTCAGTTTATAGAACTGGAAAAACATTTCAATGCTCTTGAGCTCGATAAATTTGGTGAAAATGGTGGTGCTCTCAAGGGACGAACAGCATTTCAAAGGAGTGTGCAACCATCAAGGTCTGCCCAAAACTGAAATCCTTTTCTTGATGAAGTGTTTCTGTAATGCTCATGTTGCACATTGACATCAAGAACCAACATTTTTCCTTTTGTTTTCCCTAGATCTTTATAGTTTTGGAGAATTTGGGAAATCTGAAAAGTGTAATGTTTGTAGCTGTACCAAATGTCATTGTACTAACTGTAGTTAATTAACATAAATGACAATATGGTATATTTGTCCTGTGACTAATCATTTGCATTTGACATTATTTGTTTACTATGAATGTCGTTGCTGACTCCTATAAAATATCCACATTATAAGCTTCTGAATTTTCAGAGTTAAGAATAGTGCTTGGCATGGCAGTCAAGAAACTGTTCTTTATTGGTGGAGCTGGGCAAATTAATTTAAAAACTTTAGGGTGGTTTTCTTTTTTTCTTTGAGGGGAAGAGGGGAGGGGTGGGGAGAGGGGGGTGGGGGAATGGCTTTAAGAAGTTTCAACTTATGCCAATCTGTCTATAGACATGTTATTTTTGTACATTAGGGGTGCATATGGACAGGTATAACTAATCATTTGTAACTATAAAGAAAAAAAAAAACTATATGACTAGTAATCTACAAGTTCTGAATTTTCCCATTAGTACCGAACCTGTACTAATGTCTGTTGATATGATCACTTTTCCTTTCGTGCAGACAAATCCAATCCTTGCATAGTTTATACAACACAATGAATTCGCAATTAACTGTAGCTGAGCGGCTTGCAGATATCCTCTCGGACCAAATGTCTGCATTAAATATTGAGGCTCCATCTGTAAAGAGACGGAATGCAGCAAAGGAGTTGTTTGAATCCATTGGTCTCATTGGTGGTAGTGACCTTTTTAAATCCCCAGAAGTAAAAGAGTCTGAACATTCTTCTTATGCAAGCAAGAAATTTTCTTCATCTTCATTCAGCTCAACAAAAGAGAGCCCTCCAAGAAAGTTGTCAAGTGCTCAACTATTTGAGCCAGAGACTGCAAGGAGAAGGAGAAACTCAATGGACAAGGTAATATTTTTTTCCCTTTGTTCCTTTTTCTATTCATGTTTAGGTGAACCTTTTACTCTCTTTGATGGTTGTAGGCTCTGCATCCAAATCTGCTTTTATAATCTTGTACAAATACACACTAGATTATGCATGGCATTGTGGCTTTCTTCATTGTTGGCTTTTAATCTTAACAGTACCTGAAACCAGAATTATTGAAAATGAATTGATTAATTGTTGACTTGTAATAATATTTTGGTGAAACTGAAAGCTTGTTTTTGTTGTTACAATCTTTTAAATATGTGTACCACTTTGGTTTCAAGTCATGAAATATAGATTTTTCTTTTATCAGCCCAATCTTGGGGATTGGCAGAATGCATAGCAGTGATTTAATTTGTCCAGTAGTTACTAAGAAGCAGTTAGAAATTATTGCATAAAGATCAAAATATTATGTGCTTCCCAAACTCAGTTGTGACAATATTTGCTTCGTTGGCTCTTCGACTTTTTTTTGACGGGGCCTGGTAAAAGTTAAATATCTTTCTGTGGTTGATTATGAGCCTTGCCTACCTTTCCCTTCCACATGAAATGTGATGGGGATTCCTTGCACTGTCTCATTATCTTTTCTTAAAACACTATTAGATTTGGCACATAATTCCGCCTTCTCCATTTATTGCTTCTTTTGGCGCCTTTAGTTAGTTAATTTAGCAAATGCAGATAGTCAATGGCTTGGCCTAGCATGGAAAGACTGTCCAATGCTAATGCGATTGCTTGTGCTTGATTTTGCAGAGTTGGATCAATGTGGAGCCTCCCAAAACCACAATAAAAAGGACTCCACGAGAGGAACCTTCTTCAGATAAATTATCACTTGAAAAGCTTCCAAATTTGCGAAACAGAATTGGCTTCTCACCAGCTCGCCAGAAGGAGTTTACACCACCTGCTCGCCCATTATTTCCTTCATCTCCTGACAAAGGTTAATATGACACTAAGTTCCAGGTTATGCTGTAGTTAATGTTATCCAAAAATCATTGATTTGCTAAAAGTTCTCATTTTCTATTTTTCTTTGGTTGGCTGCAGAGATTCAGGAGATGTCACCTGTCCATGCGATTGGCTCGGAGACACCTGGATCCTCACCCTCATTTTTCAAATGGTCAAAACAAACTTCTGAACCATTGCAAATAGCACGATTGATATCTCCAAAAACCCAAGGTTTGCCAGAAACCATTCCTCAAGCATCGACACCATCATCAAGCTCTACTGGCGCCCAAGCTGTATCTGCACCAGGTTTCTCTGATGGAAAAAACATTTCTATCACGCACAAGGAGCATACGGGTTTTTCCAGTAGCCAAGCTATAATGGATACCAAGACACAGTCCATTACCCAACCCAAAGGTGCCAGTCCCATCAAGCAACTGTTTCCATTTAACACGGCCATATCTTCCACAAGTGAGCCGATGAGAAACACAATGCATGCAAAGGATCAAGCAAAAGGGTTTTTACCCCGTATGAGTATTGAAACAACTGTTACTCCAAAGTTAATGCCAGCAAGTGCAAAGCATGAAGCAGCTGAACCTGAGAAAATACCTACTGTGCCCATGAAAAACACGTTCGAGCAAAAGGATCAAACGCTAACGGACAGCACCAAGCATAAACCTGTAAAACTTGAGGATTTCCATGTTTTACCAGAAAAGAGTTGGACTTCACCAATCTCTCCACCAAGAAATGCTTCTTTTGCTGATGATCCATCTAAAAAGCCATTTCAGTTGGACATTTCATTTAACAAGGCCGAGTCTGTGGGAAAACCAATTTCACCACCTGTATCAGTGTCATCTGATTCTTCACTTTCTCCACCTGTCTTAGCATCAATTCCACCTTTCTCGGTTTCTCCTGTTGTTTCCCTGGCACCACTGTCGTCGCCTCTCTCTTTTAAACATCTTCAAACAACAGATAATCCACTAATCACTTCTGGCTTGACTGGAGCTAGTACTTCTCAACCTTCTCTAGATCTAAATAGGCCCCTTTTTTCTGATGCATCAATGTCTATGACAAAACCCAGTGCAGAGACTACTACCCAAACTGGTTCAACCTCATCACTTTTTGGGGCTTCTTCCACATCATCCCTTATTCAGATATCACTGTCACAGAACTGTCCTTCGACTACTGTCCCCCCAAATCTAGGTTTTGTTGCTAGCTCAGGGCCCGGACTCATATCATCACCCTCATCAACAAATGGGTTTTCAAACACAATTACAAGTACATTAGTAAATCTATCAAGTCCAGCACCTATTGTCCCTGCAGTTTCCCCAACCCCCAATATGGCCCAACCAATACCCACCAATGCAATTCAACCATTAGCTGACATGAAGAATGAGACTTTGGATGCTACCATCCTTGAGGAGGATGGGATGGAGGAGGAGGCTCCAGACCCAACAAATGACATGAGCTTGGGATCATTTGGTGTTTTTGGGCTTGGCTCATCTTCCCCGACTGCCTCGAAACCCAACAGCCCATTTGGCACCCCATTTGGCCCTTCAACTCAAACAAGCACTTCATTTTCTCTCTCTATCCCTTCCGGGCAGCTATTCAGGCCTGCGTCTTTTACCCCACCCTCAATTCAACCCACCCAACCAGACCCAAGCGTGTTTTCTTCTCCATCAAAAAGTGGGGCACCTCCAACTATGAGCGCCTTTGGCCGACCTTCACAGATAGGTTTGGGTGTGAGTGCCTTTGGGCAGCCTGCACAGATAGGTTCAGGTGCAAGTCCATTTGGCCAACCGTCACTGGTTGGGGGGGGTACGAGTGGCTTTGGCCAGCCAGCACAAATACGGGGAGGACCACAAGTTCTTGGATCAGCTCTTGGAGCTTTTGGACAGTCGAGGCAGCTTGGTAGTAGCTTACCAGGAGCAGGATTTGCTTCTTCTTCTTCTGGGTCAGCGAGTAGTGTTGGTGGATTTGCGGCCATGGCGACGGCTGGTGATGGGTTTGGAGCAATGGCCTCGGGTGGTGGGGGTTTTGCGGCTGCTGCAGCGAATACTGGAGGTTATCTTCTTCTCTTTCGTGAATGTGTTGATGTTGCAATGGTTTCATCTTCTTCATTTGGAATGCTTGTTGACAACCTTTGTTTTAGGAATCTTTCGTTGAGATGTTTATTGGGCAATAGGAAGATCTCAGAAAAGGTTATACACAAAGAATCTGTAGGAAAAAGTAGGAAAACTGAAAAGTAAAGAAGAACCAAAGGGGGAAGAAGTTTGACTTTTTTTTCTTATACTTTTAAAATTTAGTTCTCTATAAACTTGTATTTTTGTATTTTCCTTTTAGTTTAGAAAATGGAGATTATTGCATGCATATATTTTCATTAGGTCCAAACTAGCAAGGAGGACAGGGGGGGTAGAGAGTGGGGTCATAGAGAGCGAGAGAGTGAGAGTTGGGGCATGGAGAGAGTGGGAGAGTTTTGATAATAATTTTCAATTCTTCTTACGTAATGTTTTTCAAACATTTTCTGGATTCTCATAATCACGCTGTGTAGTGGTGGGCGAGCAGGTGGGCAAGGGAGGGAGGGAGATGGGGATGAATTTATTCCAATAAGACATTTATTCCAATGCCTAAATACAGTTGGGTAGGGCATTTTTGGAAAACAAATTATAATGAAAAAGGGAATTTGGATACTGAAGTAAAGTTTGAGGGCAGTTTCTTCCTCAAATCCCATACATGACTGATCCCGGAACCCATTTTTATGATATATTTTACGAAATTATTGCAGGGAGAAAAGTTAATGAAGAAGAGTCAAGCATTTCTTTGATACTTTGCTTTGACAAAACCTCAATCATTTTTTTGATAATAGGATCGTGCTTACATTTGTGCCTGATTTCAGAATTAGATGAATAGAAAAACAAATGAATTTAAGGTTTGTGCAGGTGGGTTTCAAGCTTTTAGCAACAAGCAAGGAGGAAGCATGGGTGGTTTCTCTAGCTTTGCAACCAGCAATGCTAGCCATAGCACTGGGAATGCACCAACCAATATTTTTACCCAGATTAGGAAATAGTCTTGCCATAAATTATGCCTCTTAGTGCCGTGGTAAGTCATTCCAAGTAACCTTTTTTTCTCTCTTTAGTACTTCTCGTTGTTCTTTTTTTTGCTATTTTGCATCCTGTCAGCAATTGGTGTATTCACATAACAACGAGAATAGAATGTATGACCTTATTTTTATTATTACATGTTTGTTTGTGACTATGTGTTAGTCTCTACTTTGTGTTCATGGTTGCGTGTAGATAAATGTATTTATGTGTGTGTGTGTGTGTTCTATGTTTGGACAATGAATTGTTAGATGATAGTCACATAGACTGTTGCATTGCGTTTAAAACCTAGATTGGCCAGGTGAACCGGCCATTTGAAAACCGGTTCGGATTGACAAATCAGACCATTTCTCCAGTGTTAGTAGGGGTCCAAAAAGGTTTTAAAAAAATTGAGACAATAAAAAAATGAAAAAAATAAATGAAATATGTTGGAATCAGGCGATCCAGTTGGTGTAGATCGCCCGATTCCCTGACAGAACTGGGCAACTCCAAGGGAAGCGTATTGATTCTTGGTTCTGATAGGAATCGGGTTAGTATACATCGATTCCCGATCTAGATCTACCTGATCTATTCCATAGTTTCTATGTGTACATGCATGTTGTGTTCGTGCATGTATGTGCCCGTGTGTGCTAACGCACAAGTATATGTATGAGATTTGGATATGAATTGCTAGATAACAGTCTCATGCATTATTTTAGGAGCCTCGTGCATAACTTGTTTCTGTACTGGCATGTGGTGTGTGCATGTGAGAGCACAAGTCCATGCGCTTTTGTTATATTTGTAGAATGAATTATTAACTGGCTGTTTCGTGGATTAATTAAAGAGCCTCTTCCATAGCATTTGTGTGCATGCGTGTAGTGTGCGTGTGTGTACGAGCATGCACGTATGTGTTATATTTTGGTAATGAATTGTTAGATGGCAAGTCTCATGGATTATTGTAAGGCCCTCCTCTATAGAATGTATGTGTGCATGCATGTAGAGTGTGTGTGTGCATGCAAGCGTGTGTGTTTGTGTGTTATATTTGGATAACAAGTTGTTAGATGGAAGTTTTATGTGTGTGTGTGTGCACATGCTTATCGCAAAAGCCTCCTCCATTGCAGTTATTTGTACACGCATGTAGTGTGTGCGTGTGCATACGCACTGCATGAAGAACTGTTAGATGACAGTCTCATAAATTATTGTAAGAGCCTCATCCAAAGCATGTATTTGTCCATGCATGTGTTAAGTCTCTGGGTTTGTATGTGCATGCCCTTGCATGTGTTTAATATTTGGATAGTAAATTTTTGATGGCTGTCTCATGGATTTTTGTTAGAGCCTCTTCAATAGCATGTGTGTGCATGTATGGTGTGTGCATGCTTGCACGCCTAAGTAAGTGTGTGCTATATTTGGATAATGAATTGTTAGATTGCAGTCTCATGGATTATAGTGAGCCTCTTTCCCAAATGAATATGTATGTGCATGTAGTATGTGCTTGCATGCATGGGCATGTTTGTGTGTGCATGATATTTTGATTATGAATTGTTGGATGGCAGTCTCATGCATATTGTATACGCCTCCTCCATAACATGTATATATACATACTGAAAATCTATCAATTTGTGTGCATGCGCATATGTGTTTGTGTTATATTTTGATAATTAATTGCTAGATGGAAGTTTCATGGATTATTGTAGGAGTCCTTTCCTTTGCATGAATTCGTTCATGTATTTAGCAAGTTTGCATGTGCGCATTTGTGTGCTATATTTGGTAAATGAATTTATTTTGTGGTTGTTTCATGGATTATTGTTTGTGCTTCATCCATAGCATGTATGTGTAAATGTTTGTGGTGCATGTCATGAGCATGCCCACGCTTGTGTTTGTGTTATATTTTGGTAATGAACTGTTAAATCACAGCCTCAACTATTATTGTGAGTGTGACCGCCATAGCCTGTACGTTTAAATTCATGTAGTGTGTTATGTGTTTTTGGATCAGTGCATGCAAACCCCTGTTTTTGTTTGTATTTGGATAATTAATTTGTTATATGGCAGTCTCATGGATTATTGTATGCCTTCTCCATTGTGGGTTTACTTGAATGTACAGTGTGTGTGTGGGTGTGTGTGTGTGTGTGTGTGTGTGTATGTGTGGTGGTGTGTGTGGTGTGTGTGTGTGTGTGTGTGTGTGTGTGTGTGTGTTTGTGTTATATTTGGATGGTGGAGTATTAGATGGCAATTTCATGGATTGTTAGAAGAGCTTCCTTGTAGCATGTATTCACAGATGCATGTTGTCCGTCTTTTGTGTGTCTGCACATTTGTATTTGAGATATATTTGGATTATGAATTATTAGATGGCATTCTCATGGATTATGTGAGAGACTCTCCTGTAGCATGTACTTGTAAATGCATGCAATGTGTGTGTGTGCGATTGCCCGCATGTGTATGTGCACACACATGTTTTTCTGTTTGTTATATTTGGATAACGAATTGTTATTTGGATGGCGATGGATTTTTTGAAAGCTTCCTCACAATAGTGTATGTGGGTGTACGTATTGTATGTGCGTGTGTATGCCCACTCGCATTAGTGTATGTGGAACGTAGTTATACAATTAATTGTTTGACAGTCACTCTCATGGTTTATTATATCAGCCTAATCCTTAGCATTTATGTATAGATGAATATAGTGTTTGTATGTGAGTGCATGTTCGTGTGCATTTAGTTATATTTGGATAGTGAATTGTTAGAGGGAAGTCTCATGGATTATTTAATAGCCTACTCTACTTCATGTATGTGTAAATGCATGTGGTATGTATGTTCCACAGTTACCGGAAGCCGGAGCGGGAACAGCTTCGGGGTCGGGAACGGGTGCGTCGGATCGATGGCTGCCCAAAGTTCTAGCTCTCGGGGAGTGAGTTCCGATGAGGGTAAAAGTAGCAAAAGGCGATCCCATTTGAAGGTGGAGCACATTCCCAACACTATAGGATCTAGATCCTTATGGGGACACAGTCCGTATACAATGGGATCGTGTTCAATTGCAATAGGATTGTGCTCCCATCCGGAATAGGAATGAGATCTCATTTTAAGTTGAATCGCGTTCCTATTTTGATAGGATCGAACTCCATTCAAGGACAAATCACGTTCTTTGCATGATTGGTTCCCGCTCCCATCAGAGAACTCCACTTGTATCAAGAACCCAATCCCATTGCACATGGATTCATGTTTCCACTACGTATTGCAGCCCGTTCCCACATTAACGGGATCTCGTTCTGGTTTATTCTAGAACTCATTGGTCACCGCTTGATAAGGATGGAGGTCCGTCTACACAGGGATCGCGCTACCAAATTTTGAGGTTCGATGACCTTATTTATTCAGGAACGAGATCTACACTCTTCACGAACGTGCACCGTGGTATGTGGGGGTTGAGATCCTTTTGTTCATCGGAGCGAGTACCCTATAGAATGGGAGCGAGATCCCTAAGTAAAAAAATTTCGTTTCGAGTGAGATCCCAGTAATGGAACGTCGGAGCTAGATTCCAGAGCCGGAGCGTCACCCTGTTGGGGTGCTCCTGGTAACTATGGTATGTGCACAAGCCTATGTGCATCTCTGTTTATACTTGGACAATAGATTCTTTGGTGGCTGTGCCATGGTTTATTGCAAGAGCCTCCTCCATAGCTTGTTTCTGTACATGCATATAGTGTGGGTGTGTGCATGCACTTGCGTGCTTGTTTTCGTCTTATTTTTAGATAATGGATTGGTTTTTTTTTGGATAATGAGTTGTTGGATGGCAGTTTCATGAATTATTGTTAGAGTATCCTCCATAGCATGCTTTTCTACAGGCAAGGTTTGTGTGTGTGAATCCACGTGCTTCGGTGTGTTTTTGTTATATTTGGATTATGAATTGTCCAAGGGCAGTCTCATGAATTATTCTGAGGAACTCTTCTATAGCATGTATGTCTACATGCATTCTTTTTTTTTGGATAAAGTTTACAGTGTCATTAATGAAAAGAAAAGTACAAGATATTTGGGGGTAGCTAACCTTTACACAAAAGAGGTGCTACGCTGCTCCCCACAGGCGGGGAGTTATCTACACAGAGAAAACCCAAAATAAACAATCCGAAAGTAAAGAAACAGCAACAAGAGACAGAAAGCTCGTGACAACTGAGAGTTGGCTAAGCAAAAGGAAAGGGTTTATAAGAACACATTTTTTACATAACGAGGGAGAAGCTAGAGTAGGGAGAGGCAAAAACAGCAGCAAGCTTAAGGGGGTCCCTGGTTGTCCGAAAGATCTGCTCCATCATTGGCCAAGAGATCTGCGAGAGCATTGCGCGTCCTGAATATATGCGTCCAGGAGACGCTGATATCCCTGCATAAGCATTGTATTTCATCAAAAATGGGCAGTAGGTACCAAGGTGGTGCAGACTTTCTGGAAGCCCGAGCAATAACGTTGTAAGAGTCCCCTTCAACAATCAGGTGAGAACCCCATGACGGGTCGAAAAACTTGATCCCAATCAGGAGTGCCTTGGCTTTGGCATGTTGGGAATCAATTAAGCCCAGTGGTTCAGCAAACGTGAAGATGATATTCCTTTCAAAATCTCTGAAAACACCCCCGCCCCAGAGGGTCCAGGGTTGCCCCTAGAGCAGCCATCGAAGTTCAGTTTGATAGCTCCTCTTAGGGGTGGTTGCCAATTGCAGGGTTTGACTGGTTTCTTGGGCTTATGGTAAAGGATATTTTCCCAATGGCTAAGAAAGGAGTTCGAGGAGAAACCGGCAAACTCTTTGTGGTTGGTCGCCCAAAAAATAGTCATAGTCTTGATCTTGTGGAAAAGAGCAGACAACGGTTGGTGAAGACCTTGGAAAATCTTGTGGTTTCTATCATTCCAAATTACCCATATGCAAGCAGCGCTAGCAGCCTTACAAAGGATTGTACTTGCTTTAGGCCAAGGCATGGCGAAATCAGTGGACAGTAGCGAGGGCACCGAAGGCGGAGTAGCCCATTGAAAGCCAAAAAGGCATAGGAGTCTCCGCCATAGTTGTCTCGCCTGCTCGCAATGAAGGAAAAGATGGGCATTGGTCTCTTCCTCACTAAGACACAAAATACACCTGTTAGAGGTAGAGATACCCCTCTTTTGCAGTTGGTCCACAGTTAATGCCCTCTGAGAGCAAGTGATCCAGTTAAAGGTCCGAACCCTTGGGGGTGCTATGGAGGGCCAAACTTTGGCAACTAGCGATGGAGGGTTGAAAGGCAGAGTAGGAGATTGGATGAGTCTTTTGTAGAATGAGGCGACTGTGAAGCAACCAGAGGGGGATAAAGTCCACAACAAAGAGTCACTACCATAGAGAGGAATCTAGATTTCATGGAGAGCTGCTTAGAGTTGGTTAAAAGAGGCAATTTCGTCGTCAGAGAGATTCCTCCTAAAAGGAGTCCACACTCTTTGGCCGCCAATTAGGACCAATTCATCCGCTATTGTTGAGTGAGGGTGTGAAGCTAGGGAGAAGAGGCAGGGGTATAAATGTTTGAGGGGAGAAATACCCAACTAAAGATCAGTCCAAAAGTTAACTTTGGACCTTTCTCTGGCATAATGTCTGATGACGTTCTTGAAGAGGGCTAAGGATTGGGAAATGGAAATCCATACTCCTGAAGCACTTCTTCTATGTCTCTCTAGCGGCACCCAGGAGGAGTCAATGATTTTGTTTTTGTGTTGAATGAGTTGAGCCCAGGTTATGTTTTCTCAGGATTTTAATGCTTAGTTCTCCTTGTATTTTCGGATGGCATACTCTCTCCCAAGAGATAAGGTGGAACTTCTTCTGTTCTGTTGGCCAGACCATAGGAAGTTCCTGGATAATTGTTCCAGACGATTGGCAATAGACGTTGGCATGTGAAAAAAGGACATAAAGTAAGCTGGGATATTCCTTAAGGTGGCGTTAATAAGGGTTTTGCGATATGTTAGAGATAGGAAGCTTCCTTTCCAACTGGATAGACGCTTGTCTACCTTATCAATCACCTTGGACCAAAGATTCTTATTTGGTTTGCCTAATCCCAAAGGAAGGCCAAGGTAAGAAGAGGGTAGTTGTTCAACCTGGTAAGGCCAATTTGGGATAAGGGATCTGATTTGATCAGGTGTAATGGCTACACCCATCATTTTAGATTTATCCATATTTATCTTAAATCCCATGGCTTCCTGGAAACATCTAAGGAAAATCCTCAGATTATCAATTTCACGAGGTGCTGCATCTTGGAAGACCAAAGTATCGTCTGCGTATTGCAGATGAGATACTACAGGTCCTTGTGAAGAGCTCTTAAATCCTGAAAGCCAACCTCCCTGATAAAGACGAGAGAGTAACCGACTGAAAACTTTCGCCACAATGGTGAAAAGAAACGGAGAGAGGGGGTCCCCTTGACGAAGTCCCCTAGAGGACGGGAAGTATCCTTTGAGAGAGTCATTGATAATGATAGAGAAGTGTGGATTGGAATAACAACCATTCATCCATTTTCTCCACTTGTGGCCAAATCCCATCCTGGCCATGGTTTGGTCGAGGAGGGACCAATCCACATAGTCGTAGGCTATTTCCTAGTCTATTTTGAAAATAAGCCCAGGTTTCTTGGAAACATGTCTGGAATGGATGCACTCATGGGCAACCAAAGTGCCATCGAGTATTTGCCTGTCTTTCATGAAGGCTGTTTGGGTGGGTGAAATAATGAAAGGGAGGACCTTTTGAAGTCTGGTTGCAAGCACTTTGGAGAGAATTTTGTATGAAGAGTTAATAAGGGTAATGGGTCGAAAATGTTTCAATTCCTCTGTACCTTCTACTTTCAAGACAAGGGCTATAAAAGTTGCATTGATAGCTTTGTGAATGATTCCCCTGGAGTGGAACTCTTAAAAGAAGGAGATGAAATCTTGGTGAAAGGTATCCCAGAAGAATTTAAAAGGCGAAATGGGGAAACCGTCCGGCCCAGGGGCCTTATCTTTTGCAAGATTGTTAATAGCAGCAAGAATTTCAGTCTTTGTGAAGATACTTTCTAGCCAGGAATTCCACTGGGCAGGAATAGTGAGAAAGTCCAGAGAGGTCATCCTAGGCCTGCAGGCTGTGGGGGCTGTATAGAGGTTTTTAAAATATCCTAGTATGGCTTCCTCGATGTCCCCTGGGTGAGACAAAAGTATGTTATCCTTTTTAAGGAAGGTGATGGTGTTTTCCCTTCTATGATAATTGGCAATTCAATAAAGTTAGCCTATGTTTAAGTCCCCCGCTTACAACCATTGCACCCTAGAGCGTTGAAACCCGTAGAGTTCTTCTTTCTTAAGTTTTGAAAAGTAATCCAGACAAGCAGAAGATCTGAGAGAAAACTCTGGTTCTGTAAGGGGTCTGGAGTCCTCTAAGGAATCAAGGGACTGGATAACCTGGAGAAGAGAGTTTTTCAAAAGAGAGTAGTTCCCAGGCTGGGACGAGCTCCAGTTCTTCAGAGCTACTTTAAGTAGCTGAATTTTGGTCTGCAGCCTGTACCCCGCCCTTCCTGAAACAAGAGTGGACATCAAATTCCACTAGCGGGGAATTAATTCAAGACCTCTCTGAACTGTGGCAGCATCGAAGAGGATAGGGCAGTGGTTGAAGGTAGATTTTGGTAGCGTAACGCGTGAGAGCCAGGGAAAGCTTGCTCCCATTCGACTGAGAACAGGAACCACTCAAGCTTAGAGCGAATGGGTATCTGAGCATGGTTGGACCAGGTAAACCTATTCTCTTGAACAGGAATGTGTTTTTTGTATTTCTGTAACGAGTTGTTGAATTTCCGTCTCGTGTATTGTTGTAAGGGCCTCCCCTATATCATGTATTTGTACATTGCATGTGATGTATGTGCCACAAGTGTGTGTTTCTGTTATATTTGGATACTGAATTGTTGAGGTTATACTCATCGATTATTTTTAGAGCCTGCTATATAGTATGTATGCGTACATGGATGTTGTGTGTGCTATGAGTGTGTCATGTTTGGATTATGAATTGGTTGTTGGCAGTGTCAGGAGTTGAATTGTTAAATGGAATCTCATGGGTTTTGTAAGAACCTATTCAGTAGCGCAAATGCATTGCTGCATGTGGTTGTAGGAGTACACGGGTGTGTTATATTTGTATGATGAATTGTTTGATGGCAGTCTCATGGAATATTATAAGAGCATCCTCCATAGCATATGTGTAATGTATGAGTGTGTACATGCATGCTTGTGTATGTGTTATATTTGGAAGTGAATTGTTGGATGGAAGTCTCATAGATTTTATGTGAATTTTTAAGAGCATTCTCCATAGCTTCATCATCATCATCATCATCAGAGCCTTTTCCCAACTATTTGGGGTGGGCTACACGAATCCTAGTCCGTCATTCTGCTCTATCAAGGGTCATACCCTCAATGGGGCTATAAGTCGCCATATCTTTTCTCACTACTTCCAACTTTGTCTTTTTGGAACTACCCTTGTCCGTTTTGAGCCTTCCAATTGAACTAACTCACTCCTCATAATATGTGTTGTACTGGGTCTGCATTGCACATGACCAACCGATCTTTGTCTACTTTATCTCATCTTATCGTGTATTGAAGCCACACCTAAGTTCTCAATGTATTTATTTCGATTTCTATCCTTTTTTTAGTCTTCTCCATGGCTTGTATATGTAAATGCATGTTGTGTGTGAGTGCACGTGCATGTGCTTGTGCTTGTGTTTGTACTATATTTGGATATTGCATTGTTAGATGGCAGTGTCATGGATTATTGCAAGTCTTGGTGTATATGCATGTGGTGTACACCTGCTTGTGTGTGTGTGAGTGTGCATGCGTTAGATTTAAAAATCAATGACTTGATTATTATAAGGGTCTCCTTATCCTATTTGCCTACATGCATGTACAGTGTTTGCATGTGTGCACTCATGCATGTGTTTGTGTTGTAATTGGATAGTGAGTTTTTTATGCAGTCTCATGAATTGTTGTGTGAACCTCTTCCATAGCATGCAAGTGTAAATGCATGTACTGTGTGTCCGCACACACGCATGTCTGTGTCATATTTGGATAATGAATTGTTTAATGGAAGTATTATGGATTATTGTAAGGAAAATTGATTCATGCGGCTAGACCGCATTTCTACAATATGCGGTCCAAAAGGTATAAAGCATCCATCTTAAAGATGGATGCAAATAGGTGGTCCATCTAAAAACAAGTAAAACCAACGGTCCAAATGTTTTCTTCATATAATTATTATTTCTGGTTTTCACTTCTTTTTTTCATTTTCATGATCTCCATGTTAAAGATTATGTATTATCTAAAAATTAGGATCAAATTATATTTAAAATATATATTTATTGCCAAGCCCACATTTCTACAATATGCGGGCTGGCTGCATAGAAACTGTGTCCTTATTGTAAATTTTTGTAAAAGCCTCACCCTTAGCATGTATCTGTACAAGCAGGTATTCTGTGTGAGCATGCATGTGTATTTTATAGTTAGATAATGAATTGTTGGATTGCAGTCTCACAGATTGTTCTAGCAACCTGCTCAATAGCATGTATGTGTACATGCACGTTAGTGTGTGTACGCACACGCGATGCTCGCATGTGCATGTGTTGTCTTTTGACATTTTTAATATTGAATTGGTTGATGCCATTATTGGTTGTTGTAAGAGCCTCCATTATATGTGCATGAATAGTGTGTTTGTGGACATGCACGTAGGAGAACATATGTATACATCCTTCAATTCGGAGTCAAATATGAATTATCCATGTAAAAGGAATTGTAGGGCGAAAATATGATGGAAAATGATTTCCTTTTCTTCTAGAAGTTGTGTATACTATCATGGCATAAACTGTCACCATGTATTTTGCAGATTCGAAAGAAAAAACAAAACATGTTTGTCTGGAAGTTTGAGTACTGATCTCAAAAAATGTTTCGTAACTGAGGATTGTGAATTTCCATGTGCAGGTAGATTGTAGAGAAGAAAGTAAGCGTGTGGATCGATGCATAGTAATGGGAATTAATCCAGATTGTCTTGCCATTGACTACGCTTTACATATCCTTCTTGATGTGGCGTTTTTGCTGCATGTGTTCTTTAACACAGTTGAACAAACTTTTTTTTTTCCTTCCCTTTTTTTTCATTTTGTTGTCTAGTAGATAATGATCTTTGGCTTGTGGCGATCCACCACTTCAGAAATTTCGGATCTTTTTTTCTTTTCTTTTTTCTTTTGTTGAAATCTCATAATAAATGAACTTTAATGTCACATCACGGGTAAATATCCTATTCATTTTAATGCTGTACAGATATATCATGTTTAAAAGGCCAGATTTTTTATTTGCACTTCTATTACTAGTGTTCGAATTGGGCATTGAAACGTGAATATCAAAACCAACATATATACCATAATTGGATTGAATTTGAGCGGTTGCACGAAACCATGAGTGCATGGAAAATCACGGAGCAAAAAGAGTCTCTGTCTCTCTCACTTAACCATAAAATGGAAAAAAGGCCTAATTTTGTGGTACTTTTGGCATTGGGCAACAAGTGAAGAAGCCTGCAACAATAATTCGAGGTTATGAGGGCACCCATTTTCCTTGTTGGACCATTTGAAAAACCTAATCACCACTTCATCTACTTCCCATTGAAACAAAAACTCAAAAGGAGTTTGTGATAATCCAATTGTCCAATTCCGTGTTTCGGTGCAGTCGAGCATTGTCCACTTATACTCTTCATTCCCCATCTTTGAATCCTTCCAAACTGGTAGTATCAGTAGATGAAATGGGCAGTGTTGTTAGGGAACATGAGGCATGAGAAAGCAGTCCGGAGATGAGATTGTTGAGATAACCTACCAGAATATTGGAATCCATGGTTTAGGGTTGGCAGAAAGTAGTAGATGTTTTTCATGGATTGGGGTTTCTTTCCCGTTGATCTTTTTCATGGATTAGGGTTTCTTTACCAGTTGGGAGTTAGGGGTTTAGGACCATGGGTCTGTGTTGCAAGAGACTATTTGCTTTCAAAGCGGGCAAAGGGTACTGGAAGTAAATGGATTCTATGTTGTCATGGGGGCGCAAAATCCAGACTTTTCAGGATTGTATGTGTATTGCACTTTTGAGGCAATTGTCCAAAAATCTAATTTTACCCTTAGTTGTGAAGTTTAATGCTCCAAAAATATTGTAGATCGAGAATATCTATAGACATTAGAAAATATTGGAAAGGAAACGAAAATATGACTATTTATTCTTAATATAAGGAGGTTTCGGTAACTTTTAGCCATTGAATATGAAATCCAATCAATGAAAATGTGCACAACATTTGAGAAAATTTGTATTGGATCTTGTGCTTAAACAATGATACATCTTCAATCACCGGATTTCAAATCTCATGGTTAATGATGATTGTGATCACCGTATATCAAAAGTAAATAGTTTCATTGTATAGATTTCTTAAAGTTTAACCACAAATTATTTATTATTTGAAATTAAGTTCTTAGAAATGACCTAAAACTTGGGCGAGACATGGCCGGTTTCTTATATTGTACGGTCAATTCGAAGTCAGGGACGATGCCGAGTCCCGAGTCCAAGCCTTGTGTTTGAATATCACATGAATACGAAGCATGTATGTCCAAACTGTTGATTCTCTGGCCAAAGGAAGAGTTAACTTTTCTTCTTTGATGGTCACTTCTTTTTAGTGACATTTTTGTTCTTTATTATTGTATACCTTGGATTTTTCTATGATGGTCACTTCTTTTTAGTGACATTTTTGTTCTTTATTATTGTATGCCTTGGATTTTTCTATGATTAATGGAAGTTTTATGTTATCGTTCAAAAAAAAAAAAAACACGAAGCATGCATATCCAATGCGTAGAATGAGAGACATTTGATAAATGAAAAATGATTCGTCACATTTAAAAGCAAATTGAAATCATAGAGAATAGAACAATCGACCTTTTTTTTTTTTTGAGAGAGACAAGGTATATGCAGAGGATAGAAGTATTTTTGGAGAGAGATTGGTTATTTCTAAGTAAAAGGGCTGGGGTCGTTATGGTAGCACCCCAAAACCCTAGTCACTATGCCATAGCCATAGTTATCATGTTGTAGTTACTATTCTTATTGATAATACCCGACCAACTCCTCAAAAACGTAACTCCTATATTATTTGAAAAAACGGTCTCTTATACTGTTGTGGTAACCATTCCAATGAACAATCACAAAAAAGCAAAATTTGAAAATACACAGACGCATATATATTTGGGTTTCTATAAAGGCTGCAATGGTATTTATTGAAGTAGGTTTGCAACCACATGTATTATCCATTTTTTTAGAAAAATTGACGAGAAAACTAAGGAGTCTACTTCCCCATTTCCTCTTTGATTTTTGTGCTATATTATGCACCATCCAAATACTATGGACGGTGAAGAGGCTGCAACCCTACTTATTGTAGTAGAGGTGCAGCCCTATGTGAATATTTTCCGTAATAGTTTGATTTACTTTGTAATTTTCCTACTCAATACACTTGGGACATGGAGCAAAATATTCTTAATTGTTGTCGTTAACCCAACCAATGAGGTTAATATAAGGTGCCCACCTTATACTATACAAGCACGGCACACTAAATTTTGTTATGATGGCTTGAAAGTCTATGTTTAGTTCTAAGTTTGAAATTCGAAATTATAAAAATAGAGCATATCAAGTAAATCTATAAACACCTTATGTTGAAGATAGACGGTTGAGAAAACTTGTCATAAGATGCTCAACTTTTAGGACTTGATATTCTTTGTTAGTTTTTATGTGTATAATCTTGAGGTTGAGATGATCGATTGGAAGGTTTTTTAACTTTAGAATACTCTTGTGCATGGGAATTTTGAGGTGCATCACCCTTTTAATTGGGGGTGTGGTTTGTATAGGGGTGCAACGTTAAATAATCAGAGTAAGTTGCACCTCCAAGTTTTATTATAAGATGCAATTCCGCATAAAATTTTTTTAGGATGACCTGAGAATATATTTTCATCTCTAATTATAAAATTTTAAGCTTTAAAGATGAAAATCTTTAAAATCGACGGTTCAGATAATATATTGCAAGATGCACTATTTTTTGGACCCGAAATCTATTTTTTACATACCATATATCTCAATGTTGTGATGATTAATTAGAGGGTTTCCCAACATCAATAACAACCTTTTCGAAGAATTTTTGAGGCATTACGGGAAAGTTTTCTATGCCTCCTCTACACATAAAACTTTTATACATTCCCCTATACAATCGTCCATTCTAAATGGACGGCTTAGATGGTCCCAATCACAATGTCACCCTCTATACTATTTTATTTTTAGTATTTTTTAGGGCATCCCATCCTCTCTTGATATCACACCTATAAAAAATATTCCCCAAAAAAATTTATTTCCAATAAAATAAATGGTCAAAATACCCTTGAAAGTTTTAAAGGGTATTTTTGTTATTATATTTTATCAAAAAATTATTTTTAATATCTTTTGTAGGTGCATGCCAAGGAGAAGATGGCACGAAATTTTATATTCATACAATTTTATTAAAAAATTTTAAAAAGAAAATACTTTAAGGCATTGGATCTAAGATCAAACGGTGAATGACTCACTTGATCAAAATTGAACGGCTGGATGGTAGGGGAAGCATATATCTTCTATGTTGTAGGGGAAGTATAGAAACTCTCCCCAATTTTTCTTTGGAAAAAATTTATATAAGGTTGCAACCTTCAAATGTAAAGATGCACCTCAAAAATCCATCGGAAAAGATTGTTTCAATGAAGAAAAACCCTCTAATTGATCACATCTCGATGTATGAATATGCGAAAATAAAGATTTTGAGTCTCAAAAATAGTACATCTTGCAACATATTATCTAGACTATCCATTTTCAATATTTCATAGGTTTATAGATCTACTTGATTTTAACAATTTTTGTATTTAAAAATTAATAATTAGATATGAAAATAGATTTTGAGATAATCATTAAAATATTTTATATCAAAATTATATGTTATGATAAAATTTAGAGGTGCACCTTAATTGGTTTGTTTAAGGTCGCAACCTTATAAAAACCACACCCCCTTTCTTTTGATTTGAACTTTGAGCAAGCATCTAATACAATGGTTATATCATAGTATAATGCAACGACATTTTTAGAAAACCATGTTTGAGTTATTTGTATGATCCCAAATTTTGCACATACACTCTCTTCATCTCAGTAATTAATCTCAAAAAAAAAAAAAAAAAAGAGATGTCCGATTTGAACCCTATATATAATCAAAATGAGTCCCCTCCAAAAACAAATCTAGACCATTCATTTTGTGAATTTCAAGCTATTAGCCTTTATAAACTCAAAATTATTTTTTTATATTTTAACATTGTTCATCTAATGATAATAAAGTCATCTAAAAAAATTAAAAATAAAAAATTTTCTCTGAATCTTAAGTCTAAGCTTCTTATCAAAATGAACGACCTATGTTAAATGAGCTAAAAAAGTTACTTTTTAAATTGTGTTTTCAAATTTTTATTTTTTTGATAAATATTATATATAATAAAAAAAATGTATATGTTAAAATTTGGATCAAACAAATGGCCATGAATTATTACATCATATTACGGTTGCATTAAATCATTGAACTTTATAGAAAAAGTTTATGAAAGGGTTTTTTTATGCCCCGTAGGGCCGTTTGGATGCTTGGTCCGGGCTCTCTGCTACTCTTGCTGGCCAAGGTACCCCCCTCTCTTCTCTCTCTACAAACCCTCACACCAGGGAACCTCTCTCTCTCCTTCCCCCCCCCCCAAAACCCCACACCAGATACCAAGTCTCTCTCTGTCTAATTCTAATCTCTCTCTCGCTCGCTCGCCACAACCCTGCAGCCCTAGGTCGAAGCTCTCTGCTCTCTCTCTCACTTGCCAATATTCGTCTGTCTCTCTCTCTAAATCTCTATCTCCACTCTCCCTCTAATACCCCTTTTCCTCTGTTCCGGTGGTGTCTCTTACCCGCTCTCTGATATCAAGTTTTTTAATTTGGGTTTTGTTGGATTTGCTTTAATGTTTTGAGTGATCTGATTGCTATCTATGTTATTTCTGTAAAAATTTTATGGTTTATTAAGTATTGTTTTGCGCAAATTTTTGTCATTACTCCTTTCTTCATCTTCTATGTTATCATTTCTAGATCTTGCTTAACTTGCTTTTATAGTTTATGGGTTTTGTATCTTGATAGCTGGATCAGGAAATTTCGTTTCCTAATTACCCCACAAAAAAGAAACAGAGAAATTGGATTTTCTCTTGCACTTTAATGTGCTCTGTAATGCAATATGAAACAAACTCTC